ACCCATTGATGATGACTGAACTTGTAAATGCAATAAACTTTTTTTAAAAAAAGGACAATTTGACAAGATATTTCAATATAAATTCATTCCTCTTTATTGAAATTAAAAACAATGGAATATTATTGTAAACAAGCAATAATAAAACACCAACACTAAAAATAGGCTAAACAAGAAGTTATGACACGCAACTGAGTGGTCATGTGGTGCTAAGCTCTGGCGCCGGCGGTGGTGTTTAGTTTTTATTGTACATCCCATAAAGGCTTTATCAGCTGTACCCGTTCTACCACCTTGCCTATTACACCACACGCTGAATTATCCTTATATCATTCATGGTTAAAAAGATGTCCATTAATATAACACAGTTCAAGTATCACAAATATTAAATTTTATTTTCATTTTCTTTGTTTGTGGTCTTATTATGACTTGTAACCTGTTATCTTTACGCTGCACAACTTAACAGCATGTGATGTAATAGAACTCTGTCACAGGTACCCCGCTAACCACCTTGTGTATTTCTCTAGATTATGCAGTGACCTAACATGCTAGGATAGCATGAAATATGTGAGTTTTTAGGGCACAGAATAATGTTAGCAATGATGTAAGTTATGTTTGATGGTCACAAAAGGATAATAAGCTATTCATTGTGGAAGGGACATGGTAAAGTGAAATTCTTACCTTAGTAAAAAGACTTTTGCTGATATCTTCAGACTGGAGATGCTAACACTCTTCAAATTTCCCACCACCAAAGAGGATGCTAATACGCATGTGTTGAGTAAAAATCACGGTTCAGGCTTGCAGCGCAGGCAAGATATTTAGGGTGTTTCAACTGTACACGTCTCAACTATACTCAGTCTACCCTTCATATATTTTAATATAATTTGCTGTATCATCTTATTCAGCTGTAATCTGATGGAGCCTAAACACACTGGGCAGTGACACAACATCAAACACAAAAATGTTGTACAGACTGGTAAAAGTTTTGTTTATACTTTCTTTATTCTGTCAGTATTAGGCTGAGGTTAATTTAACTGCTGAACTGCTGTGAAATAACTTCTGATTCACGTAATCTCCTTTATACTCAGATGGAGCTATTATGGGATGTTGAGTCCCTTGAATGAGCCAGTTACACCGCAGAATCTTTGAATATATGAAAAGTATTCATGAATCATTGCATCATATCTGCGTAGATTAATTTCTGATTAACACTGACAAACCTGAAGTTCTGTGGAATTCCTTTTATTTAAAGATTATTTTTGGGGCTTTTGTTGCCTTTAATGGCAAAACAGTGTAATGTTGGGGGAGAGAGGGAACGACGCGCAGCAGAGACTGCAGGCTGGGTTTGAACCTGATCACACTCCATCCACACATGCTCCGTTGCAAATACTTTGATAATCGATTCTGATTTATGTCCAGGGAAAACCACCGCTGTCTCTTTGATGTGTTCAGTGTCTCTGATGTTGTAAAGAAAACTGCCGCTGCCGAAGAAGCAAAGGGCAATGCATAAAATTTGCTCCTATGATAATGTAAATCCACAATGTGTAATATTTGATATATCTGGGTGGAACAGATTAAGATAAATGAAAGACTGTGAGGTCAAACAGTATCTTTCATACAGACACTCCTCCAGGGAGACATCCAAACAGGCTCTAATCACCTTCTCCTTACTCAGCAGCCTCTGTATAAACTGTGCCCCAACGTCCACAACTTCATTCACTAAAGGACACGCCATGTTTCTCCTACCTGCAACACGCTCAGCCTCAGGCTTAGACTGAGCCAGCAGGTTTGCTTCATGGAGTAAGTTGCCATGGTAACTGACTCAGGGTTTTGTTGAGCTGGCTTTCTGAAACGGAAAACTCAGAGTTTACCTCATCTCAGGCTCAACATACTCAGAGTTTTCACTAATCCTGCTTTCTGAAATAGGGCCCAGACCATCAAAGTGACATACAAATTTGATCATTTACCATGCATGTTGCTGTGGTTGTTAATTTAGAGTTCAGTTTATCATCTGAAGGGTAAGTTGTAAAATTCTAAAGAATCTCTAACACAGAATCTTCAAACGGCAGCAACTTTATTTAATTTTTTTCAAACATCTGTAAGGGTTTTTAGTATAGTTTTATCATCTTAAAGACAGATAAAATGAAAAGAAAGAAACCAGGAAAGTGGTTAAAATTTTAGTCAGCAGATAACTGTTCACACATTCAGGTTTTAGCAGGTATGCTTTATTTTGGATCACATATATTATTTATTAAATTTAATCTCAATGTTTATTGGCAAAAAGAAAACAGACATAACATTGTTGAAATACAAGCAAAAAAAGTGCGTATTAAGTGCATTATTTCTATGTATATGAGTAACATATATCCAGTATATCAGATCATGTGATTACTGCCCAGCCCATTTGTATAAGCCTGAACCATAGTGCAGTGTACACATTTTCAATCAATAAGCAAAAATGTTAAAGCAACATTCACATTTAAGTCTTCATTCTTCATTGTCCAAAACAAAATGTACAAATTACCAACAATTACACTTATTACAATATATAGTTCTGGAGAAATCAAAGTAAATACTAAATAAATAGTTAATCTTGCCTTCTTTTCAAAATTAAACAACCATTCCCATCTTTGATCATCTGAACATTTCAGGGATTCGTCAAACCGTTTCATGGAAAATAAGCTCAATTAAATTATCATAATGTGTACAGGACAAAGAAAATGTAGGTTTTGATAAGTGATTTTGAAAGTATTATCCTGAAGCCTCTGACATGTCGAGGCGTGGAGACAGGACCTCTGGGGTGTCCTGTGTTGTATGGCACCAAAGCATTGCCGACAGATCCTTTGAGTCCTGTGGGTTGCGAGGTAAGGTACTGGCATGCCCAATAGATTGTCAATTAGATTGGGATCTGGGGAATTTGGAGGCCAGGTTGACGCCTTGAGCTCTAAGTCACGACCCCTGTGCCATTCCTGAGCTGTTTTTGGGGTGTGGCACAATATAAAAGATATATGCATGCATTTCATATAACTTATCGTGTTCTTCGTTTCATTACAGGAGTTAAATCATGTACTTACTACATGTGAAAAGGTTGGCTGGTTCTCACTGGCAACAAGAAAAGAACTATATTATACTCATGTATAAAGGTGCAAAAGCCGCCGCAGTACATCACTTCACTTTGTATTTCCCTTTCATCTTCATTTCATTTCATTTATTGGATCTCCATTAGCACCAGCACATTAGCATAGCTATTCTTCCTGGAGTCCAAACATTAAGTCAAATTGTCCATTCATCCAAGAGAGAGAGAAAAAAAAACTAATACAATCACAACACATAGAATCATAGATGCAGACAGACATAGAACACAAGACATAATCACCAACACCTATACATTACAAATTAAGAATCCAAGGGAAAAACAATATAGCAAAACACACAAACAGATAAAAGAATAACAATACCACAAGGCAGGGAAGAGAACAGGCACTACATCATATCATATATCAATAAGTATAACAACAACACTTGTGACATATGACACATACACATAATTAGTATGGCATACACTTACAATAAGTCAAGGTGAGTCAATCAGTAACCTCATGTGCACCTACTCAACTTAACTACTGCAGCTGCAATATTAGAAAAAAATGTTTAAGTAAGAATTTATACCTCTCTTTGGAATCTACCAACACAATATAAAGTGGCAACGAATTCCATCCCAGTATGGCTCTGTACAAAACAGATTTCTTTAACACATTGGTATTAGCCTTAGGCAAGATGAACCTCCCCTCAGTAGCATGTCTTGTCAGATAACCATGTCGACTAAACTGACAAGAAAACAAGTAATACAAAACATTCAGAGACTTATTTACAATAATATTCCTGAGCAAGTTTAACAAAACATAAGAAGTTCTTTGAGTGACAGTTAGCCGACCCAGTCTATCATGCATATGTATTACATAAGTTCTGTAAGAGCACAGTGTAAAACACAGCGTGCTGCTTTATTTTGAGCAACTTGTAATTTATTTAAATCCTTCATTGAGGCACTAGACCAAATTGCAAAATAGTAATTGAGCTGTGACAGCTTGTGGTATGAATTTTAACACTCTTTTTACCATTGAGATCCCTCTTCCCATTTTACTCAAAATATGATCAATATGTTTAGACCAGGGGTCTGCAACCTTTGCCATTAAAAGAGCCATTTTTGACCAAAAATAATTTGAAAAAATCTGTGTGGAGCCGCAAAACATGTTTGAGCCTTATAATCAAGGTAAATAGCCTATTAAGTCTAAATTAGCGTATACTTATGGTCTAAATAAGCATTTGTTAATATGTTTTACCACAAGGTGGACACTGTGCAGGGCACTATTAATAATTATCTGGTACTTAAATTTTGCAGAGCTGGCAGTGAGAGCAAACAAATCTGTCCACGCACTACTACATTCTCTATTTATTCAATTTACTTTTTTGGATTTGGCATCCATAGCTAACCAGCCACTGCTATTGAGGTTCAGCAACATTTGGATTCATAGAATGAATTTCCATAGACTTCTTTTCTCAAAGGCTCAAGGAGCCACTGGACAGGGGCTAAAGAGCCACATGTGGCTCCAGAGCCACATGTGGCTCCAGAGCCACAGGTTGCCTACCCCTGGTTTAGACCATGTTAAATGTCGGTCAACAGTTATACCAAGAAGTTTAGTCTCATAAATTTGTTTAACAGGAATATTATCAATTTCCAATACCAAGGAAGGTTCATCTCTCAGCAGATACCTTGACCCAATAACAATAGATTTAGTTTTCCCCACATTCAAGACCAATTTGTTTTAAGTTACCCATTCTGCCACTAACCTTAAATCATATTGTAACTTATTATTTAACTCCACTGTAGACGACTCCGCTGCATATATTGTACTATCATCTGCATACATGGCAATTTTAGTCCTATCAAGCACAAGTGGGAGATCATTCACAAAAATAGAAAATAATAACGGTCCAAGACAACTCCCTTGAGGCACCCCACAGTCAACATATTTAATATCAGACAAACTACCATTAAAATAAACAGTTTGACTCCTGTTTGTCAAATAGCTCTCAATCAATTTCATTGCTGACAAACTAAAACCATACTGTTTAAGTTTTCCTAATAACAAAAAATGGTCAATAACATCAAATGCAGCACTAAAATCAAGTAGAACGACACCCACTAATTTCCCATTATCCATGTCCATACGCCATTCATCTGTCATATGCGTCAGAGCTGTACAAGTGGAGTGTCCTGGTCTAAATGCATGTTGAAAATCACTATTTAAATTATTGATATCAAAATAATACTGAATTTGTTCAAACATAATCCTCTCCATTACTTTACCTAGAGCAGGTAACAAAATAATCACTCGGCAATTCGCCCCAGAGAAAGGTGCAGCAGGGTTCTTTGCTAATGGCATAACTTTGGCAATTTTCCAATTCTGCGGGAAAACACCTTTATCAATACATAAATTAAAAATATGACACACAGGAACAGCAATAGAGTCAGCAGCAATACTGCACTCAGGTTGCTGTTGCAAAAGAAATCTCGATCTCAGTGACATAATCTAATTGAATAAAGATTATTTTGTACAGTTAAAAGAAACTGTGTATAACTTTAACATTCATAACATATATTAAAGTTATATATCCTGGAAGGTAAACAGAAACATTAATTAAAAAGAAATCTAATAAAAAGCTTCATTCATATTTGAAGGCCCTTTCATATTAGATTTGTAAATCCAAAGCACTCCTTGACATTTAGTGTCAGCAGGTGTTTATTAACCTGATGAAATGAGCTCAACACTCTGTTTTGCTCTCTGTGTCAGTCTGACCTTGATGCTGCCCCAAAGACTTTCAGTAGGTGGGAGCACTCACCTTGACAAACTCCTTCAGCCAACCAGCATAACAAAACACTGAGGAACATCTTCTTCATCACCAACAGAGCTGGTTGATAAATCAAGCTTTTGCCAAATCCAGTCGGAAGAAAGGCAAAAATGTCCTTTGCTCCGAGACACTGCATACTCTTGTTCTTGTTTAATTGTTATTGGCTCTATTTCTGCAATAAATTCACTCATTGCTGTGTTTACTCTATGTTAGAGTTAGCGTTTGTTTGTTTGTTTGTTTTGTTAGCGTTTTACAGCATCACCCGCGCAGATACCTCATTGGCCCTGATTGGATTTTGATTTCTGGAATGTGTTTGGGGCAGCATGAGTGATATTCATACCTGTCTCTAAACCAATTCACGTGTTAGAAGACAATAAACAGTGCACTCCAAAATGATTGTTGTAAATTTCATCAACTTCATGTGTATGATATCTCTCAAACAGAGATGTTACCGTCCATGGTGTCCTTTAACCATTAAAAATGTTCCAGCTGCGACTCCCAACAAACCCACAGCCAGGCCCACTCCACAGTAAACATCTGGTCCCACACTACTGTCATGACTAAAGTCAGGTTCTGTGAAGGAACGTGAGAAAACATCATTACATTCACAAATCATTGTATTATTTCTATATTTAAGTGGCTTCTTAAGATAAATCAATCACCCCAGATCCTTGTTTGAGGCCTGTCCAGGGCCATGTGCTCCACAGTGCAGCTGTAAATGTCTCCCTCCCTCGGTGTGAATGTCAGGGTGGAGAACTGATGAAAGGTTTGATCATTATTGAGATAATATCGACTGAGTGATGCCCCCTCCAACACTGGAAGACCATTTCTGGTCCAGGTGACTTTGATCTCAGGTGGGTAGAAATGATTCACAAAGCAGATGAGGGTGTTTTCAACTTCCAGCTCAACTTCCTCTGAAGAGTAGACGATGCTCTCAGGGGGGTCTTTAGTGGGTCAAAAGACAATTAAAAAACATCATCAGTATCTTAGCAGTCACGTCACAACAGAGAGAAATGTTGGGTGCAGGTTATTTTACCTGTTTGTTCGGGTGGGTTTCTCTCCTCTGCTTTGGCGATTGCCACAAGTGCTGAACATGATTTCTTGCCTTTCTTTGCATTCCTATATTCATGTTCACTGTCAAATAGTTTACTTGGGTCGTCCACAAGAAATCTGGGCACAGTGTAAACAAGCTCATCTCTGTCAAAATCCGCATACAAAAACTCCTCATCATCAACCTCAAACTCAATTTCAGTTGTCCCATTGTAGAAGCAGCCCACAATTACAAAAGTGTCATGGCGAACTAAAAAACAATAAAGAATAAAAGAGCGAAGGAAAATGATAAATGCATCGGTATAAACATAATGACAAATAGATCTAGCAAGTCACTCCTGTTGGATTTTCTCACAGGCATTTGTATTTTCCACAGAAACTTTGAACACCACAGAAAGGTATCTGTGAGTATTTGTGTTACTAGGACAAAGTAGTAAATTTGAAATGTATTCTTACTTTGTGAGAAGACACAGAAGCTGTTGATCATCAGGATTACGAGAGCTGAGCACTTCATGTCCGGGCTGCAGATCTTCATCATTGGAGACTCAGTCTGAACAAAAAATGTAATCTCCGTTATCAATCTGCACTTCATACATGTGATGACATAACCAGATAAAGCGCAAATCAGAAACTGAAGGAAGTTAGATTTCGAGCCATCGTGAATTTTCAGTAACCTGTATCAATGTATCCATATCAGAAGTATCAGGCTGTCGGAATTCTAAACGAATTCTTTGGTAGACAAAGGAGCTTCCTTGTTATGTCAGTTTTGATGGCAACACAGCCGTCTAACCTGTGGAGCAGGTTCTGTAAATCTGGCAGGGGTTTAAATGCAAGTGTACATAAGCAGTGCAGATGTTTTGATTTTTGAAATCAGCCTTGTTTTTTAATTTCAAATAACTAAATCATGTAATCCACACATTCACAGTCTCCCAACCCCTCAACAAATATTGCATTGTTATGTGTATGTGGCAACACGAGGGATGGAGGGAGATCAAGGCTGTTGCCACAGCGGCCCGGGTTCGACCCCAGCCTGTGGCCCTTTGCTGCATGTCACTCCCTCTCTCTCTTCCCCTTTCACACTTAAAGGCCAAAAAATGCCCTAAAAAATATCTTGGAAAAAAAAGGAAAAATCAATTCTTTATTACAAAATACTTTGCTAAAGAAAAAAAACAATAGATGCACCGTCCACACAGGGATGTAAATAAAGGGGGACCTTTAAGTACTGAGGCTTACCCGCAGGGAGATGGGTCGACAAGGGTGTGAGGGATCAAACGAAAAATAAGGTCACCCCAGTCATACGTGACAGCCAGCCACACACACTTTAGTGAAGAGAAAACCAGGACCAGGGGACGCACAGTACACCAAAAAAAGAGGGGAAGCCACCACCCAGGACACCAGGACCACCACGTCGGCTCTCAGCAACTGAAGGGGGAAGAGGGAAATAAAATTAATGGGGTTGCACTCAGAAATGGCCATAAACAAAAACAACCAAATAAACAAACAAAAACAAACCTTAAATAAACCAAACTTGTAAGGTTGGCAGCCAAAAGATTACAAATTAACCAAAAACCCAAATAAACAAATATAAACTGCCAAAAATAAGTTCATTAACAAAATAAATCAAAATACCACAAATCAATATTCATGTCAAGAAACCCAAAATTCACAAAAATCAGGAATTAAATAAGATACGTCACCAGCCACAGAAATTAACACAATACAACTTAACCAAAACAATGCGTAACTGTCTTAAACTCAAAGAAAATGTAACAAAACAAGATCAGAGATCCAGACAAGATTAAGTGAAAGCGAACCCCACAGTTCACATGCACACACACACTTTAAATAAACCAAATTAAAATCTCACTAAAGGCTGAACTTGACAGCGACAACAATTGCCAACAGGCTAACTTACCGATCAGGTGGTGTTTGATCACCTGAGCGAGAGCGGACGAGAGCTCGCGCTGTACAGCAGCGGGAGGAGGACAGTCAGACAGCTCGGGAGAACGGCGCGTGAGTCATTAACGTCGGCCCAGGACAGCAATACAGGAAGCTACATACAAACACACCGTCTAATTAAATTGTGAGTCAAACGGCCAGATTTCCACACGTGTACAGGCAGCTACTACCACATTACCTGCGCAGCGGGTAAAGGAAGCGAGGCGACCGGGAAGTGGGCGATCTCGGAGCCAAAGAGCAAGAGCGAGTCAGGATGAACACAGCCTCCTCATGTAGAGTGCCCTCATGTGGTGATTGGCTATAGAGTGGAGATGAGAGCAAGGAAGCACACTCTCGCATTAAGGGCGGGGATGAGCATCTCACCCTGCTACATGTACATAAACAGAACACAAATTTAAATGCAACACTTTTGTTTGCTTCCATCTTTTCATAGGTTTAGTGACCACTTTTCCTTTTCCAAGACAATCCATCCACCTGACAGGTGTGGCACATCAAGATGTTTATTAAACAGCATCATTACAACACGTGTGCCTTCGGATGGTCACGATAAAAGGCCACTCCAAAATGTGCAGTGTTATCAGACAACACAATGCAACAGATGTCACTAGTTTTGAGGGGGGTGCCATTGGCATTCTGACTGCAGGAATGTCCATCAGAGCTGTAGCCTGAGAACTGAATGTTCATTTCACTGCTGGAAGCCGTCTCCAATGCCGTTTCCAGGAATTTGGCAGAACATCCAACCGGCCATGCGTTGTCATGATCTAATATAAGGGTCATGGTGATGAATAGCACGGCAATGGGTCTTGCAATTTGCACATTGCGATTTTTTCGAGTGGGACATGCTCCTGGATCAACATCTCACATCATGTTCCTTGACCAACACTTTGACCAACCAATCACAGCCCTCTGACATCATCAGTGTGCTGCTCCTGTGCTTCCTTCAAAATTTCTTTGTGCTTCTTCAGAGTGAAGCTAGTTTTCCAAATTTAAGTTAGTACAAATGAATGAAATCCGCACTACCATTAACCAAAACCCTAGAAGCTACTGCAGGGTTAGTGAATTAGTTATTAAGCAGGTTGGCTATGCTAACAAATAAACTTGCCAATAGGCCAGAATATTAGCGAGTTAGCTTGCTAACTAGGAAGGCTATGCCAACAAGTAAGGTTGCCAATAGACTAAAATATTGTTCACTAACAAAGATTGTGAATAATATCATTTTTCAGTTGCAAAGCCTATTAGAAACTCTTGCAAATGATAGTTTTAAATCTGCATTGAAAATGGAGGAAAAATGTGTCCAGGTCTTTGAAACTGCAAAATGACATTATCTTTACTCTTAATGATAACGAACAATATTTTAGCCTACTGGTAAGCTTACTTGTTAGCATAGCCTACCTAATCAGCAAACTAACTCGCTAATATTCTAGTCTATTGGGAAGTTTATTTGTAAGCATAGCCAACCTAGTTAGCAAGCTAACTCTAACTCTGCAGTAGCTTATACGGTTTTTGTTCACTGTTACTGAGGATTTTTGGAAAATTAGCTTAGTTCTAAAGACGCACAAATTTTAAACGAAGCGCAGGAACAGCACACTGATGATGTCAGAGGGCTGTGATTGCTTGTTTGCAATGTTGGTCCAGGCACGTGATGTGGGATGTTGATCCAGGCGTGTGTCCTACTCCACAAAATCACATCATGCCTCAGGATTTCATCACAGTATCGCTGCGCATTCAATTGTTCGTTGTCTATAGCTTATGCCAGCCCACACCATAACCACACTATAACCGCAGTATTGGCATTAGAAAACTGCTCACCTGCACGATGCCATACATGCCGTCTGCTATCTCCTTGGTACGGTGTAAAAACCAGGATTCATCTGTGAAGAGAACACCTCTCCAAAGTGTCAGATGCTATTGACGGTGAGCAGTTGGCCACTCAAGTCAGTTACAATGACAAATTGCAGCCAGGTCAAGACCCTTGTGACGACGACAAGCATGCAAATGAGCTTTCCTGAGGACATTGGAGATGTCTTATGGTCATGAAATAAACATTCAGTTCACGGGCAACAGCTCTGGTGGACATTCCTGCAGTCAGCATGCCAATGGCACGCTCCCTCAAAACCTGAAACATCTGCGGCATTGTGTTGTGTGATCAAACTGCACATTTAGAGTGGCCTTTTATTTTGACCAGCCCAGGGCACACTTGTGTAGTAATGATGCTGTTTCTTGTTATGCCACACCTGTCGGGTGGATGGACTATCTTGGAAAGGGAGAAGTACTCACTGACACAGATTATAACAAATTTGTGACCACAATTTGAGAGACATTTATCTGTTAAGTGCATTTTAAAAGCCTGAGATCTTTAACTTTAGCAGGTGAAAAAATGGGAGCAAAAACAAAATTGTTGCATTTGAAAGTGTAAGTGTAGATATACAACCCTAATTCTGAAAATGTTGCGCTGCTTAAAACGTAAATAAAAACACAATGCAATGATTTGTAAATCCTCTTGACCTATATTCAGTTGAATACAGTACAAAGACAAGATATTTAATGATCAAACTGACAAACATATATGTTTTTTTAAAATATACACTCAATGTGAATGTGATGCCTGCAGCATGTTTCAAAAAGGTTGGGACAGGAGCATGTTTACCACTGTGTTACATCACCCTTTCTTTTAACAACACTCAGTAAGCATTTGGAAACCAAGGAAATTAATTGTTCAAGTTTTGAAAGTGAAAGTCTTTCCCATTCTTGCTTGATGTACAGCTTTAGCTGCCTTACAGTCTGGGGTCTCTGTTGTCATATTTTGCGCTTCATAATGCATCACACATTTTCAGTGGGAGACAGGTCTGGACTGTAGGCAGGACACTCCAGTACCTGCACTCCTTTAATGCGAAGACACGCTGCTGTAATGTGCAGAATATGGCTTTGCATTGTCTCGCTAGAATACACAGGGGCGTCCCTGAAAAGCGTCATCTTTGGCAGCATATGTTGCTCCAAAACCTGTATGTCCCTCTAAGCCTTCAGAGATGTGCAAGTTACTTATGATGCCATGGGTACTAACACACCCCCATACCATCACTGATGCTGGCTTTGAACTTTGAGCTGGTAACAATCTGGACGGCCCTTTTGTCCCTGATTTCCAAAAACAAATTTGAAATGTGGACTCATCAGACCACAGAACACCTTTTCACCTTGTGTCAGTCCATTTCAGATGAGCTCAGACACAGAGATGTCTGCAGTGTCTCTAGATGTTGTTGGTATATGTTTTTTTCTTTTGCTTTTTCTTTAACTGACAGTGGTTTTCCAATGAGTTCCTCAGCCTGTGTGGTAATATCCTTTATCCAATCATGTCAGTATTTAATACAGAGCCGTCTGAGGGGTCAAAGGTCATGGCCATGAAGTATTGGTTTTCAGCTTTGCCCCTTATGTGCTGACTCTGAATCTTTTAATGATATTATTGATTGTAAGATAGTGAAATTCTAAATTTCTTGCAATTGTGCTTTGAGAAATGTTAATGTTAGTCCAATAAACTGTTGGACTATTTAACATGCAGTTTTTCAAAAAGCAGTGAACCTCCCGCTGTCCTCGCTTTTTGAGGATGCCCCATCATACCCAGTCATGACACTATCATCTGTCAGCAGTTAACCTGTTTAACCTGCTTTCTGAGCATTCAGCAACCTCCCCAGTCTTTTTTTGCCCCTGTCCTAACTTTTTTGGAGCATGTTGCAGGCAACAAATTCAGATGAGTGTATATTTACAAATACCAATAAAGTTAATCGGTCTGAACATTAAATATATTGTCTTTGTGTTGTATTCAGTTGAATATAGGTCGAAAAAGATTTGCTTTTTTGGAAGTGGGGTTGTACAGTATATAATTTTTTTTTTTTTTTGAATCGCTTCCCAAGGCCAGAAACGTTGAACCATCTTGTGTCTCACAAAAAAAATAAAAAATAAAAAATAAGGTTAGTGAAAAAATTAGTTTAATTTTGTAAAACAAAAATGTGTAGATCGTGATCCCAGATTAGGAAACACTAACCTATGTATTAAAGGTTGTCGCATTTTCGCAATTAACATTTGCAGCTGTGAGGAGAGATGGTGGTTGGTTGTTATTGTTTTATCAAAGTGTCTCATACCTAGGTGACTGGAGATTGGCGTCTCATCTATTTTTACTGCTAAAGGAGATTAATCCACTGCATAAGTGTCTCAGTAATACAAGTAAAAACAAACAGAAAGATTTTCAAAAAAGGCAGAACAGAAGACTGCTTTAGTTAAAATGGGTTCAAATTTTATGATGCATCATGTGACAGGAAGTGACAATTTCATCTGAACTTCTTCCTCAAATTAGAAATGAAAGGGTACAAGAATGCAACCTGAGAGAGAAAGTTGCAGAAAGAACAGGTAACATGATTTTATAACCAAACTTCTCTGTCAGGTTTTTTTCTTACATCAAAAGAAATTTGTTATGTTGGGCTGTCGGCGATGGAGGTCTGTAGATGCAAGCAGGAGGAAGAGGCTGTTCTGGAGCATGTAGGTAACCACAGATACATGAATGTCACACAACTTGGGTCATTCAAAGACAAGAAAAATGTAAAGTAATATTTAAACAGTTCAGATGCAGAGTGAGACGAAACAAAGAGTGAGGGCATTTAAAAAAGAGTACTGATCAGCAGACTGGACAGTGAACATTTCCTCTTCAAATCAGTGACTACTTTTATGTTGATGGTCCCTAGTTGCTTATGAATTCAGCATTTCTTTAATAAGAGGAACAATGTGTTATTTCCTCCCTCAAAACTTTCGTAGTTTTGTTTTAAAGTTAAACATAATCTTGCATATGTACAGTATATTAAGATGTGTTCACATGTAAATGACAGGCTGAAATATAGTTTACAATCTGTTTTCTTTGCGCATGGTGAGAAAATATTTGTTTGAACAGTGTAAATTTTCCACAACTAAACATGTCATTCGATTCGTTCTTGAATGAGCCACAGCAGGCCTGATGTTCACACCTCCCTCTAAACCAAATCACGGTTTAGAAGACAATAAATAGTGCACTTCAAAATCATCGTTGTCTTCATCATCATCATCATCATCAATTTCATCTCTCTTAAACAGAGATGTTACCGTCCATGGTGTCCTTTAACTATTAAAAATGTTCCAGCTGCGACTCCCAACAAACCCACAGCCAGGCCCACTCCACAGTAAACATCTGGTCCCACACTACTGTCATGACTAAAGTCAGGTTCTGTGAAGGAACGTGAGAAAACATCATTACATTCACAAATCATTGTATTATTTCTATATTTAAGTGGCTTCTTAAGATAAATCAATCACCCCAGATCCTTGTTTGAGGCCTGTCCAGGGCCATGTGCTCCACAGTGCAGCTGTAAATGTCTCCCTCCCTCGGTGTGAATGTCAGGGTGGAGAGCTGATGAAAGGTTTGATCATTATTGGGATAATACCGACTGAGTGACGCCCCCTCCGAAACTGGGAGACCATTTCTGGTCCAGGTGACTTTGATCTCAGGTGGGTAGAAATGATTCACAAAGCAGATGAGGCTGTTTTCAACTCCCAGCTCAACTTCCTCTGAAGGGTAGATGATGCTCTCAGGGGGGTCTTTAGTGGGTCAAAAGACAATTAAAAAACATCATCAGCATCTTAGCAGTCACGTCACAACAGAGAGAAATGTTGAGGTTAACTCACCACTTTCCTCTGTTGGGTCTTCCTCCTCCTCTTTGCAGAGTACCACAATCGCTTTACATGATCTCTTGGCTTTCTTAGCGTCTAGATATATGTGCAAATTCTCAAAGAGTTTACTTGGGTCGTCCACAAGAAATGTGGGCACAGTGTAAACAACCTCATCTCTGTCAAAATCCATGTATAACATCTCCTCAGCATCATACTCATACTGAACTTCAGTTGTCCCGTTTTCAAAGCAACCCACAACGTAGAGAAATTCATGGGGAACTGAAAAACAATGAAATAAAATAAAGTATAAATGTATGACAATAATACTTGACTTTCTCTCAGGCATTCATATTTTATACAGAAACTTAAAACAGTCAAAAGGTTTTTGTGAGTATTCGTGTTAGTAGAACAAAAAAATAAATGTGAAAGATATTCTTACTTTGTGAGAAGACACAGAAGCTGTTGATCATCAGGATTACAAGAGCAGAGCACTTCATGTCTGGGCTAAAGAACTTCATCATTGGAGACTCTCAGTCTGAAGAAATAGTTTAATCTCCTTTGCCAATCTGCACTTCATACATGTGATCACATAACCAGGTCATGTACAAAACAGAAAATTGAGGAAAGCTGGATTTTTAGTCCTGGTAAATCATCAGGAAGCTGTGTCGATATGTCAGTGAGATATTAGAAACATCAGACTGTCGGAAATGTAAATGACGTATTTGGTAGACGCAGAAGCTTCCTTGTTATGTAAATGTTGATGGGAACACAGCCGTCTAACCTGTGGAGCAGGTTCTCGAAATGTCAGTGTACATAAGCAGTGCAGATATTTATTTTGTAAATCAGCCTTTGGTTTGAAATACTTAAATCATAAAGCAGTGATTCACGGTCTCACAAACCCTCATCAAAGGTTCCATACTGACTGTTTCATCTAAAGAGCTGCCAGAGGCCAGAAACGCTGGACTATCCAGTGTCTCACAATAAAAAAGACATTGCTGAAGGAGATTAAACCACTGGAGTCTATGTAAAAGAAGTAAAAACAAACAAAAATATTCACCCCAGAAAGATAAAACAGAAGACAGGACAAAAGATTACTTTATTTACAGACATACCAAAAAATGGGTCCAATTTTTCACGATGTGTGACAGGGAATTAACTTTTTATCTAAGCTTCATCCTCATATAAGTAATGAAAGAATACAAAATGCAACAGAGTTGTGTTACATAACAACAGGTAACATGATGTTATAACTAAACTTCTCTGACAGGTTTTTTCCCCCTACCATCACCATGTTGGGCTGCAGGTGGTGCTGGAGGTCTGTAGATGTGTGCAGGAGGAAGAGGCTGCACAACCTTTGCTCATGGACTTTTCACATCCACATATGAAGAAGAAGAAGATTTATTTATAAAGCACATTTCATACAGAAAGCAACACAATGTGCTTCACAAAAAAACATGTATAAAAACATAAAATATGAGCACATATTTACAAGCACGCAGACAGACAACAAACAAGAACATGAATGTATGCAAGCATACATTGATGCATCTTATTTAAAGTGCATAGTGATTCTAGTATTTAGTGATAAAAAATAAAAATAAAAAAAATGACGCAAGGTACCCTGGGTTGTTGTTCTGAGACACTGTGTCAAGTTCTGCCTGTTACATGCATTGTGTTCTTTCAAGATACACTTCCGTTTTCACAGGAAATGTAACGTTTACATACAGTCTCTTTCAAAATAAACCCACTACATCAGTACAACACCGCAAACTGACTTTGAACAGGGTTTAGCTTTAGAATCTTATGGGACGCTAACATCGCTCTCTCGGGTAAAGGTCGGTGTTTGTTGGACCCATCCACCTCCCCTCTTGCCCACCACACTAGGACATTTGCCACCTTAACTTTCGTCCTTGTCCCACAGCATTACCCCCTGACGCTGCTGAGCACCATTAAACTATAAAGGTAACTGGCTGCATATCATGCCCACATTAAATGATGCCTTTTTTAGTTGGTTTCTGACGCCGCAAGTTACTGCCTTAGATTTACATGACTTCGGAGTGAGGCCAGGGTTGCGTGACAGAGACATGAATCAAAAGAGGAAGGGCAGGGGGGCCCACTGAGACTGCTTAATGCATATGGCCCAGAATTTGGGGCTACGGCCGTGGTCACACCACTTTTAGTTCATTCAAAAACAACAAAAATGAAAAGGGAACTAATGTTGAACATAATTCAGATGCAGAGTGAGACAGGAGGATTGAAGAGCAAATGGATGTGTGTTAGATCATCTCTTCTTTATATTCATTCATTCATTTTCTGTAAGTGCTTATCCTGGTGGGGTCGCAAAACTCGCCAAATTGACACCATTCGCCACAGCCAGAAACTGTAAAAACTGAAATTGTTGTTGGATTTTAAAATTTCCGAGATCATGGGTTACTAAGGCTTACATCAGACATAACAAAACAAAACATAACATAACAAAATCTAAGCTTAGAATAGTGATATTTCATCAAAATCACTTTATTCTGTGTCTCATTTAAAATTTGGCCAAAAGCAAACTGTTAGCACAAACTAACCATCATGCACAACAAGAGAGACTTCAACTCCAGGATTTTGTCGCATCAACTTTTGACTATAAAAAAATCAAATGGCAAATTTTTAAAAATCTAATAACGAATTAATGGTGAAGGGAGTGTTATGTATTTCCCCGGTCACTCTGGGAGGCTCAAGGAAAATATTTGTAGCTTTGGCCAGGGTCAAAAACAAAAGCAGCAACAAATAAATAAATAAATAAAAAATAAATACAAAAATAAAAATTAAATAAAGAGCTTAATATACAAATAATTAAAGTTAAATAAATAAATAAATAAATAAAAATTAATTAATACATAAATAAATTAATAAAAATTAAATAAATAAAAATTAAAAACAGAAAAAAAAAAGTCAAACCGCAGCCACCCCCCTCATCTGATAAATAAAGAACAGTCCCTGAAAAACATATTTTTGAATTTCTCAGTTTTGGGGTCCATAATTTAGATTAAAAAAAAAAGACCTTTAACCCTAGCACTCACTTGTCCTGTGCTGCTGTCAGACACCTCTCACAAATATTCAGACCTTTGAACCTTGAGCAAACTGGTGCAATGTCTTTCAAAAACATGGGGAAAAAGGGCAATGAGCAACTTGGTAAAAAATGTGACATAAAGTGCAATAACATTTAATAGATTTAGACAATTATTTTTTTTAAAAAAAAAAAAAGCTAGGAAAAACTATAATTATAATTATGATTATTATATATTTTAAACTATGTTACATGCTCTTTTGCCAGGGCATTTCCCTCCTTGTTTCCTTCTTCTTCTTCTTCTTCTTCTTCTTTTTTTTTTTTTTTTTACCTTTTTTGTGCTAATTTTCTTTTTTTTTTTCTTCTTTTAACTAATTTCTTACTAATTTTTGGGGACATTTCTTCTTTCATTGCTCATTACCTTCTGGTGTTTTTGAAAGAAACCAATTTGCTCAGGTTTCAAATGGTTAAAAGACTACAGGAGACTTTCTTCTCTTCGGCCGGCAGATGGCGCCAGAGCTCCGCAGATGTCAGCGGTGCTGCGTGGGGAAGAAGCCGCCTGTTGGTGCTGTTCTGGTGCATGTGGCTCAGAGGAATGGGGCCGTCTTCCTCTCTGACCCGTCGATGAAAAAAAATACCGAGCGAGCGGCAGAAGGGCCGGGGGATGCACAACGGCTCAGAGGAAACAGCTTCACAGGAGAAAAACCAGGAATGCTGATGCTGCTGAACATGGAGTGTCGCCTCCTTTGCGGAATAAACCTAGTGAACGCTGATGTGTCCGGTCAGTGAGTTTTTAAAGGATAAAGATCTGGGCTCACACTTTGTTTTCTAACCGTTGATACACACATCTGCAATGATGCGGGCTGTGGACTGGGGACGAGCCGCTGCGATTGTACTCTGCCTTTTGGGATACCTTTCCTCCGGAGCTGTCGCCAAAACACTACCGGAGGACACTGGCACAGAAGGTAAAAAGTGATTTAAACACTTTGTCCTTTAAATAAATCTGGTTGTGTGGCTATTTTTGGTGGCTAATGGTGCCGCTAGCCTGCTCGGATGCTGATGTGACCTAAAGTTAGCTAACGTTAGCAAGTTAGCTGGTGGCAGAAGGAGAGCAAGAAAACTTCTCTGAAATGTCTGCTATCCAGTTTGTTTTTTATGTCCCTGGATAACAGTTTGACGCAACTTTATTTCAGCGTGACGCAGTTATATCTGTGTGAAATACTTTGTTGGTGGCAGTGGCTGAAAGCATGTCCTCATATTGTCCAGTAGATAATGCAGCAGCAGAGGAGTCCAGCTGCTGTGATTTGTCATTTTTAGCATCTCAGAAAATACTTTTTTTCCTGTATGTTCCTGAATGTTTATCTGGGAACTAGACTACATTAAACCATTATGTTACATCTTGTAGTTTTAAAGGGTTTGCACTCTTGTGACTTTACATTTGTGCAGAAAGAGGCTGCAGTTTTGCTGTTTCAGTGTGTTTTTAAGCAGTAGGTTCTCATGTCAGTGGCTGCAAACGTCCACCTTGAGCTAACTGCTCAGGTGTCCCACTGCAGGTAGATGAACACCAACAAGCTAAAACTTGATCCTTGGCCTTAGTGCTGCAGCTGCAACTAATGACTATTTTCTTTGATTAATGAAATAATCAGTTTGAAGGTGTAAATTTCCCAGAGGCCAAGTTGACACATTCAGATTGCTTGGTTTGTGCAGCTCACAGTCCTGAACACAAAGCTGATCAGGTTATTATCATAAAAAACACATCCAATGTTACCATTTAGGAACCTTTGAACCTTTTGGTATTCTTGTTTTAAAAAACACTTAAGTAATGAATCAGTCATTGAAATTTTAGTTGATGCATTCTCTATTTATTTCTGCCCAACTTTAATTGCTTGTAACATAAGATAAAATAATGAAACTTTTTCCCTTCCCACACATGGAACTTAAAGTGTTGTTGCTGTAGAAGTACAAGAAGGTATGCATAGTATACGTTACTTTAAAATGTAGTACACTGCACTGATTAAAAATTAAAATGCAGCACTTTAGTTTTTGCTCCCATTTTCCACAGGTTTATGCCAAAAATGTAAGACTTTTTATGCACTCGATTAGGGCTATAACAATTAGTCGACTAATCGATGACTAATCGACTATTAAAATAATTGGTGACTATTTTAGTACTAATTGGCTTGAGTCATTTTTTATAGAAAGGTACTATAAAAGTACCCCAAAATACTCTTATTGTAGCTTCTTACGTTCAGATATTGGCAGCTTTACACACTCTCCCACGACAGTGAATTAAAACCCTTTGGCGTGAGTACGAAACAAGACAATAGATGACATAATTTTGGGAGAGACAGACCGACATTTTTCAACATTTTAACACATTTTTCGATAAAATGATTAGTCGACTAATCAAAGAAATAATCGACAGGTTAGTCGATGATGAAAATAATCGTTAGTTGCAGCCCTACACTCAATACATAGGCAATATTCAGTACATATATAATTCTCTCATATTTTTGCAGTAGAGTGGCTGGTTGGATGTACTGCCAACTTTACAGAAACACTGGAAATGGCTTATGGTAGGGAAATGCACATTGAGTTCACTGGTAACAATTCTGGTGGACATTCCTGCAGTCAGCATGTCAGGTTTAACTAAAAATCTAAGACTTTTTTTTAATTCACTCAATACATTTATATTTTTTATTCCTATTTAGCAGTAGTGTAGTTGGTTGGATGTACTGCCAAATATACAGAAACAACATTGGAAGTGGCTTACGGTAAGGAAGTGAACAGTCAGTTAACTGGCAACAGCTCTGGTGGACATTCCCACAGTCAGCATGGCAATGACACACTTCCTCCAAACTTGGGACATGTGTTGTATTGTGTTGTGTGATAAAACTGTAGACTTTGGAGAGGCCTTTTATTGTGGTTATCCCGAGGCACACCTGTGTAGTAATGATGCTGTTTATTTAGCAATTTGATATGCCACACCTGTCAGGTGGATGGATTATCTTGGAAAAGGGGAACTGCTCACTGACAGGGGTTTTAAGAAACTGTGACCAAAAGTCAAAAAGTCTGAGTTATCTGATTTTAAGCTGTGAAAAATGGGAGCAAAAGCAAAAAAGGTGTGTTCAGTTTTCTTACAGTGTATACATTATGACCCACTATTGGGCCTATATACAAATCAAAGCATGAAAAATACTAGAGCTAAAGCTATTTAATACATTTAAAAAGTTAACAAAAATGCCAAACCTTCCCTGGCTCTATTTCCTGACATTTTATAGACCTATTAATCTAGAAAATAATCTGATTAATTGATAATGAAAATATTCGTCAGCTCTTCTAAATAATAGCAGTATGGGGAAAAATGTATACAACATAGTATCGCTATTTTTGCGTGGCAATATGTAATCAATACATGGACTCAAATTATTATTTTTTTTAATGTGTAAATTTTTAATATTGCATAAAATGTAACCTTTGGGAGCCTATGAGAGTGATAAAATCAATTGCCTATTCAGTCCACTATTTTGTAGCAGTAAAAATGATTGAAGAACCAGCTGAAAACTAGATAAACTTAAACAGACTTAGATAAAACTGATGTTGACAAAGTTTTCCTTTGGGGACATCATTTGCAGTTGAAAAAAAGTAATAAATGGCAATATATGTTACCACAAAATATAAAATATAGCAATAATGTTGTATTGTGAATTAAGTATTTTGATAACAAATGGGTCTCATGGTGATTCCCTTTCCTACTCATGAGTAGTATATATACCAAGCATCCCAAGTGTTGTAAGACAAAGAAATACACAAATAAAAAAAAGACAGGAGAGGAAAATATGTTGCAACCAAATGAAATCCGTTGGTGATGTGTCTTGTGTCTGCAGCTAGCAGTGTATCCAAAGGGGGTATTTTGTCACTATTGTACAGCTGCCGACACATTCAAACTTTGTAAGCCATCATGAATCACAATAATCTGATGGCATCTCATTCAGCCACTATCTTCAAAGCTGCCCTGTCACAGTAACAACTAAAGTGGAGCCACATCTGTTTTATGTGTCACTTTTATCTCTCACTTGCATGCACAAGCACGCACACACAGCACTGGTCGTCTGTGTTCGCTTACATTTTTGGCTGGCCTACATTCGGTCCTCTCGCTACAACTGTGTTTACAGTTCAAGTATGAATGTAAACATACAGTAACTAATGCTGTAAGTCAGTCAGGGTTTAAAAAAGCAACACTGAGCACAGATTCTTCTCAAAATTGACGAGTTAGTTTCTGATATTTTTATGTTTAGTTCAGGAGTTTTTGAAGTAGTTTCCCTTTAAGGCCTGTCATCAGGAATTTTCTGCATCATGAAAATCAGCTGAATTCACAACAACACGCTCTGGTAAAGAACAAGGTGTAGTCTGTCCTGGCCTCTTTCTGCTCTCTGTTTTCCCTTTCTTTCTCACTCTCTTTCTGGCGGCCTCAGATTGACCTTCAGTAGTCCCTGGGGGGGTTATGTTCAGGTCGATACCGAGGACTTCTCCTGGTCTGTCAAGCAGACAAACATGGAACAGTGGAGCCAGACAGACAATCTCCCCGCAGATATAGATCTCACTCACATTACTGCTGCCCATAATAGGCATGGCGTTGCATCTCCAGCAGACAAACATTCGCTGAAGCTGGACAAGGCCTGCCAGGAAGTAGACCAATCCAATCATATTGTCACCAGCTAGCCAAGCTTGATTTTAATCATGAGGCTCTGGTGTGAGTGTTAACAGCAGATCCAGTTTGGGGAGGATATATCAGGCCATGAGGAGGCATTGTGTTTAGGGACGGGGCCAACAAGCCCCTGAGCCAAAGAGCAGATCCAGTAGAGGTGTGTAGTACAGTAGATGGGAGTATTTACTGTAGTAGGATGAAGAGAGTCCATTTGCTCTACAGCCTGAGACACAATGATGATGTAACCTAATTGCTGTGTCCCCTGCTGAGTTAATGGGATCGACCATGGCGATCTAATCCTACTTTTAATCCCGATGAGAGAAAATAGCAGGCTGAACACCTATTGATAGCCCTTTTCTTTATTTACAATGGCAGAGTCAGTTCAACAAACAGGCGTGTGTTTGTGTGTGACTTTATTTTTCTGTTTTCTATATTGCATGTAGAGACACGTTTTCTTTGTCACCGTTGATGACTCATACTTAATGGCAATGACCTTTTTGTGTATTCCTAGTTCTTTTCCCATAACCGTTTTATAAGGCTGATTCTTTTTTTTCTTGTTTGCGAGATCACCAAACTGAGAGTCAGATGTTTGTCATTTATCTGAATGGTAAACAAATAGCTTCAGTCACTGAGATTCCTTTTGCTGTGGTTTTACAAGTTATTGCATCCAGAACACACAAGTCTGCTGGAGCTTGAAGTTAAAGTGGCATGCGTTGATGTAGTTTTCATGAGCTTGAATCCTTACAAAGGAAAAGTTCGAAACATTTGAAGTGGGGTTGTATGAGGTGCTTATCCACAGTGAGTGTATTACATACAGTAGATGTCAGTTGGCACTTGGCAAGCCCCCAGTTTGGAGAAGCAGGCTGCAGTCTGACATGGAAGCTGAAGCTTCTTTTTCCCACTGCACAAAAAGCCTGCAAACACCCCCAAACATCTGGCTTTTCATTATAATGGGAAAGGTTACAATTGGCATTCAGGTCTGGGTCACATGACTCTGCAGTAGTCATGGGTATTTTTATCGGCTCTGGCTCTGATCGGCATTTATGGAAACAAAACTCTTGAGTGAACCTGCTAATTTTAGCCCTTAACTGGTGATATGCAACAAGATGGCACAAAATATTTTTGAAAGTTTGAAAGAATGACTGAATAAATAACAGATATATAAGGCGCGTTTCCACTGAAGAAGTTCCTGGTACTATTTGGGGGGCAGGAACTACTACAGGAACGTTCTCTCGCTCGGCCCTCTCAACCGCCGTG